TCGCGTTATCACATTTTGCATCGATATCAACGCAAAATGTAATAACACACTTTTTGAATTATTACATTTTGCGTCGAGGTCAATGCAAAATGTTATAACGCAGAGTGTAAAAACACACTTTTGTGGAATATTACATTTTGCGTTGATGTTACCGCAGCATGTAATAGCGCTAAAAAAAAGATCGCTTATAATCTGTACAAATAAATGCATTTATCATAGAAAGTGGGAATACAGTATACTACAATCACTTTTTAAAAATAAATTTCTGACTTCCTTATCCAAAATATTCCTAAATTTCCTGTCGTTATACGTTTTACATTGATCCCGAGGCATAGTTTATTATTGTAAACTGTCATAACAAAATAATGACCATATTTTCTAGCCTTTGGAAGTTTCATTGTTAAAAAAAAATCTCATATTATTATTTTTTTTAGATCGACTTTAATTTCATTTTATCTACAGCTTATCTGCTAAAGCGTTTCTGTTATATTTTATTGTAAATTCAAATGTGGCGCTCCGGGAAATTGTTTGTAACTGAATTTGGATGGATAAGTTTTACCTCTACTAACACAAGTAATTGGCGTTAATAAAATTTGTTTAAATTTCGACACAGAATTTCAGGAACACAAAATATGAATGAACATGTATTTATTTATTTATTTATTTTTTTTGAATACCATATACAACATGTAGTACTGACAGACTTTTGAGATGAGATTTTAAAAAAAGTTTCATTGTCTTAATTCTAGGATTAAATCCAGAGTGTGTATCACATTTTGCCTTAACCGCGACGCAACATCTAATTACGGCAAAATGTAATAAGCCAAAGAAGGGTGTTGCATAAAATTTTGCGATTTTACATTCTGCGTTGAACTCGACGAAAAATGTAATATAGCAGAATGTAATAATCACAGTTTATTACATTTGCGTTGTTACAACGCAAAATGTTATAACGACGTAAAATGAATAGCAGAAAAAGGGTCGTGCCTTTTTCATAATTTGAGAACTTTCGTTCGATGACTGTTGGAATTACAAAAAGATAAAGGTGTGAAATCCAGTATTACCAGTTGCTGTAATAAGATTTAATTTAAATTTCTGCTTTTTTCTGCGACACATTAAGCCGAGATTATATGTTATATACGATGTACATGTGCATGTGATATATTGACGAAGAATGTAGATTATTTTTATGTTATAATCATTATGTCAACGTTCAAAGCATGTTTAACGTTTTCCCCTCAGGCATCATTCACGATAATGATATTTATCTTTAGTTTTTTTTGTTTGTTTGTTTTTGTGTTTTTGCTTTTTCTTTATTTTGTTTTGTGCTTTGTTTTGGGTTTTTTTTTTTGGTTTATTTTGCAAGAGATGACAATCTAATGCTTGAAAAAAATCGGGAAAAATATGTCAACAAGGAGAAAAGTAAGAATCCAATTAAATCATTTTAATTTTGAACAAAATATCCATGGTCAAAGATGATAGGGTTAAGACCAACTTACAACTTCCATTGCGTTATAGGGAATGCTTCATTTTGATAGACTGTATATTACTTACCACAAAATATTAATAAGATATAAATAAATTTTGAGGGTTCTATCGCTTCTCAAGTTCTTCTGTATTTCTGACAATTGAACACAAATCGAATGTTTATCGGTACATGATACTTTTTTCCTTCCGAAAAGCTGCTGTTTTAATTTGTAAAATAAATACCGCGCTCCCGCCGTTGCCAGTTTGGTGCGAGTCCACAGCTGGCACAAGGGTATTCAAAAGAGAGTTAAAATGAGAAAAAAGCTAAATAGTATTTACAAACTGAAAATGTTAAATGCGTGTCCAAAGATTACATAATGAATTAGAAATATGATACATGTATAGTCAACATTTGAACTGTAATTTTGTGCATTAGAACGGCGTTACTTATCTCATCTGTGCGATTGAAAAATGTATGATTTGAAATAAAATGTGTGAAGAAAGCATTTTGCCTAATAACCGATTTATGAATCAAAAATAGTTTTGAAAACCGAATTTTCAGTTTAAAAAGATATTTTGATACAAAAATTTCACAAACTAAAATTCAGCTATCACCTTTGTTGTTACATTTCAAAATATTGAACCACGTCATCAACCATAGTTAAAAGATAATATCATCATTCATAAGTCATCTATTGTGTTGTAGTATTGATGAAACTTTGGTCTACTCCTGAATCCAAAGCAGTAAAGCTAGATCTGATATAAAGAACATAAGTTGGTTTTTACCTCAGTGGCCTTTAGATGTATGTTGTCTTTGGTCAAGGTCATACGTAGATTAAAAAAAAATGTCACAAGGGGACCATTATTATGATTACCTTCATAGCTATTAATGTCGATTCTACTGTAAATTTATGTTTTTCAACACAGTTGTTAACGTTAAGAAAATTCGATATATCAATATTTAATTTGATTGATATTTAAAGATTTGCTTGAATTTAAAAAAAAGATAAAGGCATTTTTTTAACTCAACCTGTAATTATGTATATATAGAAATCATCCTCTTTTTTAAGTCAATCGGTATTTATAATTCTAAACATCACCATCACTTGCGCTAAAACAATTTTAAGTGGTTTGCCATAACAAATTTCATTATATTGATTTTTGATTTTCCAATAGAAATAGGTAGATTCAATTACATACGTATGTATATACATATCAACTCCCCCCATTTCTATCCCTTTCTCATAATAAGCTTTTTCTCTATCTCTCGTTTAAAATTTTGATTTGAAAGTACGTGTATAAAATTTTCCCTCACAAAATTTACTTTCTCTTTTGTTACTTTCTCTTAAGTTTGCCAGAGACTTACATGGAATCACTTTTATTTTAGAGAAACAATAGATTGTTTTAAGAAACAGCTCATTAAAAATCATTGATACGGGTCGATCTCAGGAATGTCAACAAATAACATTACAACTTAGACCTTCCCTATAGCATCATTTGTTTTTATGATGATCTAATATTATTTATCAATCAATCGACTATCTATCTAAGTATCGTGCAATTTTATGTCAAACCTATTTGACATTTTCATGAGTCATGATGCTTTGAATTAATATTGAACGTCAAAATTAGTTGGAACGTTATAAATGCGTTCTTTATTCAGTATTTGTGTAGGATGTAATGCCAAAGATGATGCTGTGCCAAAATGTTTAGGGCTCTTCTGCAAACGTGATTATTTGTAAAATTATATGTTGCATAATCCTATTGAATTGAAGGATATTTGTTACATAATTGTAGTTGTTCGACTTCGTTAAGCTATTGCTAGTTATAAAAACAAATCAATTTTGACAGGGTTGTAAATGTATTTTTCAATAAATGTTATGTTGAACTTAACTCATGTAAGATAGTTGCAGGGAAAATCCTTTTATCATTATGTAAAGGCAAGTATTTTTTTATCGTTTCATTGTTATTCAATGACCTTTTTAAGAACAGTAATATTTTTCTAAAAATATCTTTTAAAAATACATATTTATTTTTAAAAAGCATTTTACTTATTTGCTAAATACATTGCAGAAGACAAGAAAGTGAATTTGTGTATCTATATATAGAATACAATTTGGGAAAAAAAAGTTCATCACTTCAATGTTTTAAGATATTTCCATAAGCAAAACTTGTTTCAAGATGTTCCCACTATCACTGTAGTAAAGAAATAAATGGTTTTGTTACCGTTTAATTATTTTGTTCTTGACCCAAAGGAACGCATTTTCATACCGAATCGGAATATGGCGTTTAAATTGCCCTTCTTGACGTGTTGATATGTTAAAAGCAGCAGGACTCTTTTCTAAAGCTATTTGTGTCTCAGCAGGTAAGCTAACGGAACACGAAGGACAGAGCAAATCGAATACGTAACGAGAAAATGAAAGTGAGTACATTTGCATTCACAAATGATAAATCTCACTTAACTGAGAGCGGAGAAAAAATTCCTCAATATTCGCCCGTTTCATCACGAAAATGAATATAGATACACAACAATTTTGCTCTATGACGGCATCTTACTTAGGAGTACTAGGTCGGCTGTACTTTGAAAAAACAGTACAAACCTTTTGCACTATGTGATTTACGTACATTTTTGGAAGGTTCTTTCATGTTTGTGAGCTTGTTCCCGAGGCAGGGAGATGAAGTCAAAAGATGCCAGGAGAATTATGCTTTTTTAATGTATATTCTCTTTCGTAAACAAATATAAACACTCTTGTTTGGTATGTGAAATTTTCAAGGTAGCTGTTGATTGATAGACAATGTATTTATTTCTTTGTTCATTATCCTCAGCACTGTTTTTGTTACCATATCTCTCTCGCTACACTTATAATGTATTTTGAAAACCAGCTCAGTCCATATCATTTGAATATAATTGGAAGTTGTTTATTCCGAAAATATAATTTACTGGGGAAGTGAAATCATTTAACGGTAATTTTGAAGTTGGCATGAGCCATACTTTAACTTTCAGGTATATAAATCTATTTTAGAATCCCCGTAGTTGCCTCATTAGAGCTTGTACCTCAAGGCACTTCCAGGAATTGACCTCTAATTATCGGGTACAAATCTATTCCCGATTCTGTCAAATTCTCGTATACCACACATCTCTGTCTGAATCATATCCTTACTATCAGGTACAGATAGTCCCTGAATCCCACAGGTTCCCATCAAGTTGTAAATTTTAAATTTACTGGGACAGGACGGAGGTTCAAAACAATTTACATAATATTCTGCTCACAAGAGCCCCTACCCCCCAAATCCCTGTCAAGAATCATTGTCATATACAAATACAGCGTGTCAGAGATGCATATTTTTTGAAGGAATGCTAATTAACGATTTGTAATAGAAACATCTTTGAAAATATTGCATACAGTGATGCATTCTCTCGTGCAATTTTCTGTCAATGCCAGCCTCTCTCTTGTAAGACCTAACACTGTATGATTAAATTCCCATAAAGTTCAGAAGTGGAATGGTTAAAGCTGCAGAAATGATGATATCTATTCCACATCTTTTAGACTTTAATTTGAATACATGTTCAAAAAGATATGATTATAACAGAAGATCTTTTCAGCAGCGAATTGCTTTAGGAATATCCTCTCGAAATCTTTCATGCTCACATTTGTAGAAATACTCAACTGTAATCAGAAAGCGTTCACATCATCACGTATTGTTCTCTCGAACCTTTATTCACTTGAAGAGGAATCTGAGATACAAGATATGGAGTCTTAAACATGGTCTATTTTGTTTACAAGCTTTGCATGTCACAGGTTAAATGTAACCACAAGTGTATACTTTTCTCTAAATAACTAACGAACTTTAAATTTATAATATATACATCAGGAATTTGTGATGCATATGAAATGTAAAAACTATAGCTACGTTTTCTGTATGACGACTGGGTTTCTGTAAAACAGTGACTAATGTTCTGTAAATATTGAACGTTAGTGAAATTTACTGAAAGACTGTGGTATTCGTAATCAAGGCTCAACGTCACTCACACTTTATAGTTTATTTCTTTGGGGATGTTCTTTTTCTAAACCTAATATGATCTTGAATGCCTTCCTAAAATCGTCATTAAACAGTGTATACAACACAGGGTTTATGCTGGAGTTGACGTAACCCAACCAAATGATGGAGGCTTGGATGTGAACGTTTATATAACACGTGACACAGAAACTTCGTATAAGATACATAAAGAGGAACGGGAACCAGCAAAACAGGAAACACCCCATTACTATGGCCATGCGCTTCGTTGCTCTTTGTTCTCGTAACTCGTATTTGGTCTTTATTCCTTGAATATGTTTAGATTTGGAATTTCTTTTTTTAAATGTAACTGAGATCCTTTTTTTCGATGCTCGTTTAGTATCGTCACTGTTTGAGTTTTTTGATTGTTCTTTCTCCTGTTTCTCCCTTGTTTTCTGGGTACAATCACATGTTGTTTCTTGGATGGTTTTGTTAACATTAACATCAAGTAAGCAGGGCTGCTTTTCGTCTTCAGTCCCCTCCTCGGTTTGACTTTTACAGATGACGTCTGGTAAAATACAGTCGCTGTAATCTGCTTCCTCGTTAGTTTTTCTCTCATTGTCCTCTTGGAGGACGTTTGGTTTTGACATTCTGGAATTGCCGATAGACAAGTTTGTGTATTGCTTCTTTGTTACTGGGCTGATCTGAGTTGCTTTGTCAGACATTTTTACTTGAGTGACTGGTGTTGCGCTCAGGTCAATTTGACTGTTTTCCTCTTGTAATGGGCAGCTGTCATAATCTTGGTCTATCATGTTCAAATTAAATTTAAATTTTTCCTTTTTCAATTGCATCGTCTTCATTCGTTTTCGTAAGATTATGAAAATTCTAAAGTACAAAAACAGCATCAAGATTGCTGGTATCACAAAAGACCCCATTGCGGAATACACGACATATCCTTCCGTCTCGAATAGCACACATTCGTATCTCTTTGTGTCTATATTGAATTTATAAAGATTTGGAATCATGTCTCTCCATCCAATAAAGGGGGCAATGGACACAATGATAGAGAAAAACCAAACCATGATAATATAAATCAGTGCTCTAAGTGGCGAACGGCGCTCAAAGTACCACACAGGGTAAACAGTGGCCGTATAGCGGTCTACGGCAATTGTCACTAATCCCCATATAGAGGCAGTGCAGTATAACACATCAATGCATAACCATATTGGACACATTATTTCACCAAATATCCAGTATCCCAGAAGGTCATTTCCGAGAGAAATAGGTAATACTGTCAAAGCCAGCAGCATATCACTCATAGCAAGATTTCCTATTAAACAGTTGGACATAGATCTTAATTTCGGAAATCGGTACAACGCCACCCATACTAATCCGTTCCCAAAGATTGTGAAACTAGTGATTAAGGACAATAATGCAGCCACAAATACGAATGAGAAAAACGAGTGAAAATTTAATGAGCACACGGGGTCTGTCAATGTCCATCGCGTGGTGTTGGATCCACACGGAAATAAACTGTCCTTTTCTGTTTTATTTATATAAATCGTCATTAAGTCCGTGATCAAACCATTGACAGATGTGGGCTCCGTCACATTTGTCTTCCGTGTGCTGGACATTTTATTAGGTTGCTCCGATTCCGTGGAAACGGATACCTACATACCGAGCCGCTCCTTTAACGTTAAATAGAGTTATCTCGGAATGTTACCGACACCTTTCAAAGACCCGGCGATTAATGTTCTATAGGTCCTGAGCTGGGGATCAATAAGATGTTGGAGATCTTTGATCTAAATAAAAATCCAGATTTTACGGTAAAGATGTTCCGAAAAGTGTCTGAAGACCTTTGAATTCAATAAATGTCAGAGCTAAAGTACAAGACTTGTCAATTTATTCCACGACTTTCTGTCACACGCGCCTTTTGTCAATATGCAGTTCACAAAAAGAAATATATATCAGTTGTTCTCTTAGATAGTTGTTTTGTAGGAGGGAGGGTCCTTGAAGTGTTTCACTGGTAGATTTTTAAAGGACGAATTCCATGAAATCGATTTCTTTTAATTTTGTTAAACGAAGTGTCCTCCTGGGGAATCGGCTCAAAGCTCCAAGATGGGTGGTAGCCAAAAGCTAATTTGGTGACAGCGTCGGTTTCTAAAAGTAAAAAAAAATTAAGTGAGTGGAAAAGTGAATTAATCTTTTTCAAGAAAGCATGCCCCAGATACTTTAGAAATAACAAGAAATCAAACTTGTTTAAATAAAATTTCGCTGAAAAGAACACAATTTCTGAAAAGATTTATTTATGTTTTATGCATAAGAAAGTATTCTTTTGTCTGGAAGTGTATGTCGGGGGGACAGAATTAGGTGGGTATTTCATAAACTCGTCTATCAAGCAATAAGCAATTCACTTAAACTGCCAGAAGTCATAAAATCTAAGAGAAATATTTTACATTTCTAATAATAAACATTTGTAAGGAAGTGCGGGAAAAATAACGAGAACTAATCATAGGTGTTTGAAGAGCTGTTCATGTGCTGCCCATAATAAATCACCACATGCAACTTTTATTGGTGTTTTTATTTCACTCATCGTTTATCGAAAGAAGTTGCATAAGAAAGCTACATAGGCAAGACTGCCAAGAACTAACGAGGGCGTGAAACCGTCCTTCTAATGGTATTTCAAATTCGTAATCAAATCATCAGATGTTTTTGTCGGATTTTTATTAAGTAGATAACGATGATGTTAGATGCGGAAGTTCTAAACGACATATTTTTTTCAAATGATCTCTTCAGACATTTTTATATTTAAAAAAGCATCAAATTGTAGTACATTTTGTCTTGGAACAATTCTGATTGCCTGTATCAATGTAATATCAATTAAGCTTCAGACGAAGGTTAAGAAACTGAAACTTCAATACCAAAAGTTATCTAAAATGCATGAAACCATGGAATCACTGGAATTGACACAGGGATTCTAAAAGTGTCTGCCTATAGTTAAAAGTTTGTTGTTTTTAATCACGTTGCTTACAGAGTAGGACATTGGCTTTTTTTTTTAAGTTAAGAATAGGTTTATCTTTAGACGACATTTAATCAATTCGTGTACGTCTTTGGATATATGTTCATAGGTACTGAAAGACTTATGATTGTATCACTTTTATTTTTAGAATTTGTTTTTTTTTTTAATCAGGTACAGGTGTCGGCAAACTGGTGTGATAAAAGACAAAACCAGAGACTATTGTCTTCCCACAAATTTTTATTAAAATAGAAAACTTGTTGTTGTGACTAGTCATAACACGAAATTTTCTATTTTAATAAAACTTTGTGGGAAGCCACTATCTAGATGTTTTTGTCATTCATAATAAATATATAACTTTTATGTTACTGAGAGAAAATTCGGTCATGGAATGAAAAAAAGGCGGCTTGAGTTTTATACATAGATTCAGAACATTACATTCCGGCTTATTCAGACACACTGGTGGGGTCTGGGGAGGAAAATTGTTGTCTTGAAAAAAGATTCCGTAATAAAATAGTACTAATGTCACAGTGTGGTGTCGTTAGATGAATTTATCTTGCTGGAAACCCGTTTCTTTTTCTGCTCAGATGAGCCGAAATAGAGAATTGATGCTGCCTGCCGTAATTCAAATGAAAAACGAATTGCGTTAATAATTAAGACGAATGGATATTTGAAGAAAAAAAATTATAACGTGTCTCTAAATAAATGATTTTGTTTTTTAGATCAATTTTTTTTTCTATGAAAACAAAATATATTAATCAAAAAGATAAAAGGAAGAAGGGTGCTTCCTCTTTTCGCTGACAAAAAAGTTTGTATTGCTGACAATTGACTACCAAACTGAATTATTTTTTGTAAAGACAACCAATATTAGGAGTAAGGATTTATAATTAACCATTATCAAACGGATTTTTAAGTAAAATTTTAAAGAAAAGCTGAAGCAAACCCCAACCCCGATTTAATCTTTGACCCTTTACACACAGAGAAGCATAAAACTATCGAAGTATGTCACAAACTTGTGGGTATTTATAGACCACCTCAGTTTTATTTAGGTTAGTTGAATATAAGAACATCATTACTAATTAGTAGACTGCGATGAAATATTTTTTTGGAATTCTCAAATCACATTTACTTGAAACAACTGAGTTTACAGGTTTGGCGAACTAATAAATTGTGATGCAATAGAAGAGTTTAATGATCATATATGCACAAAATACAAAGCGAACATTAATCAAAAGTGCAGAGCAATAGAAGCACTTAAAACCAATTTCTAAGCATCAATAGTTCTATAATTGTAGCCTTCATTCTCTGTGAGAAATAAAAGTACTCATTTTAAGAAACCTGGTCTACATTGACCGAATTCTTCAGCTTAATTGCTGAATTTCATGATTTCATTGATGAATATCTTTTATAATGAAATACAAGGAATTCGTAAAGAATATCGAATTAAGTGATGAATATTTCATTTAATGTAATAAAAAGGAAGTCGTATAAAACACCCATTTCATTGATTTCAGCAATATCTACAGCTACTCCTCATTTTAATTTCTTAAGGCTAACACAAGAAAATTTTCCTTAGAAAAGTTTTGTTTATCATAATTTCATAAACTTAAATAATGAGAACTTTACTCATACTAAATTCACAAATTGATTTTTATATATCTGAAGCTATAGGCATTCTGCACGCCTTGTTCACCCATCTTCTTTCTTAAGGCTTACAATGTTCGAGTACGTAACATGTTTTACTTAGAGTCGGACAAAAATTTTGGATATTTTTTAATCGAAACACAAGAAATTAATTCATACTTACTCTCAACATCCCCAACTCTCTGTGTGCGGCCCGAATTTACTAAGCCTTAATATATAAAGGTGTTTTCGATCAATGAAATATTAATTCTACGTTTAGGTCAGTGTCTCTCGTAAAACAATTTATAAAGACAAGAATGATTGCTATGTCATATATTCCTTTGATGAGGGTATCCTAGTCGCTAATCCTTGAAAGCTTCTAATGACGCTTCAAAGCTAACTTTTGGCATAAAAATTATGACACTTAGCTCGAACTGAAGTATTTTGGATCAGTTCTTGATTTACGTATGCTTATAAACCAACGTAATTCTTTAATGACATATTAGTACATCACAGCTCTATAGGATCGCTATTTGTTACAAATTTTTGGAGAGGTAATTTATTGATTGATTTGTTTTGATTTTAAGATTATAGAGGATAGAATTTGTGGGAAATTGTGAAAAGATTGAAACAACTTTGAGAAAAAAATAATACCTTTTTCAATTATTTTGCAAAAATGTTTCAATGCCTTGAAGAAGTATACATGTATGTTAGAAAGGGATTTGATTTTTGATCGTTGCAATTTGCATGGATTCTTAAGATAGTAGTTTTAAGTCTTTCTTTGGTACATAGTATATAAAAACGCGGTTAATAAGAAGATATTGGCGCCCAGTTTCCCCCGATTTTGCTGGGAGGTTTTCCTGTATCGTTCCCATCTATAAATACATTATTGTTCTCAGTCCAGACAAACGCATTACTTAATCTTTCATCTTCTACGTTTCTTTGCCCATTTAGGAAGAACTCTATAAGTCACCGGCCTATATATGCTGTTCACGGACAACTTGATATTAAATAAATGCTTGCTCTTTTTTCTCTAAGTCTTTTTTTATGCTGATTGATACACTTAATCCGTAATTGATATTTCACGAACTGGGTACCCTTCCTTATATAAAGAAGTAACCCCATTCAGTGTGTTGCCTGGTGGTATGATAATGTAATCATATTATCTCACTTGCAAAATTGGTTTTCATGTCTGTCCAACGGAAGAAAAAAATTATTAATCTGATCTCTAAATGCTTAAACGGATTAAGAGGACAATTAATGTTTTTCTTCACTTAACTGCATGAAAAATGAGAATTTCTTTTGAGATTCTTTCCAAATAGTCATGATAGCTTTACTGTTTTACGCTTTTTTCTCTCTCTCTTTCAGAAAAACCATTTCTATTTTTTTTTTTCACTTACATAAATTGCAGATCGATTAATGGGATATTTTTAGGACATGGCCAAGCTTATCTTGTTTGGTCACCGGATACTTTAAAGTAGAGTGCTTTTGGATTATTGTGTCACGGGCCTGTATCAAAATGTACATTGCTAAAGACTACAAATCCACAATAATATTCAGAGTGAGAATAGCTTTTAGTAACTCTGAAAGCAGATCAGATCACTTCTTCAAGTTAGGTAAGGGATATGTTAGTTTGAGAAAATGACGCTGAAAGTGATATGGATGGACAAGACGTATGATGTATAAATTGTTGTAGGCTTTTGAGTCTCCCCGACTTACATTTTGTTAATGCTTCAAAGATATTAAATTCTATTTAAACTAAATGAATTAACAAATTGTTTTATTGATATCATTGTAAGTTATCCAAACATGAGCCCCACCAAGACATTGCAATGTGCCTCAGACATGACGTTTTGTGTCAACGATACTTGTACAAATAAAATATAAAAATGTTCTACAAGATGTAATTAAGGTTTATTTTTACAGTTTGCAAGAAATAAGATTGTGAGTTGCAAACGTGTTTTATTTCCAAGAATAGATTTTTTTTCATTCGGGAAAAAGAGATAATTCGCATACGAAGTTTTTTTTAGGGGAAGTCTCCTATCGCATAGTCTTTTGGCCATATTTAGGAAAACGTAGTAATCTGCGAATGTGTTTAAATCTTGGTTGTTTCTTTAAATTATTTGTTTTTAAAAAAGAAAAAGAAAACTGTATCATGTTGTCTGTAAATTTTTTGAATTTACTGGGTGAAGGTATATGCATGTTGTAAATTTTTCATTTACCTCCACCCTGTAAATTTAAAATTTACAAAATGATAACTTTATAAATAATGTTTTTCTTCTATATTAGTGTTTTATGTGATTTTAAAATCACTTACTATAGTCATAAAACTCGTATTCTAAATAGCATCAAATTGATTGATAAATTTTAACTTGAATTTCCTCTTCATCTCTTATGTACTACTATCAAGAATTTTTCCAATATTATAAACACTTTTTTTTTTCTGTAAAACACTTTCAGTATCTTCAAAGTCAACTCTCTGTTAAATAATATAGGTATATTTAAAAAAAATCTTTGTTTTTGTACTTTGTTTTGCGTTGTACTTACTAAACTTTCATGTAAAAATAAGTCCAGAACTTATTATGTTCCGCGTTTCATATTTGTGTCGTCTTGCATAATCAGCACAGGCAAAGTAAATTGACGCAACACTTTCAGTTCTGTTCCCCGTTATATGTTTTCTTGCAGATGACCATAAATTGTCTGAGAAATCCCACAGCCCTTACGGTCCTCAGACAGATAAATATTTTTCATTTCCCGATACTGCCTCTTGTGTTAAGTCAAGAGATATATCTCAATTATTTATTTGTGGATTTTAATTTGAATTGATTAAATACGCTTTACTTTAATCACCGATAACTACTTATTTTGTGCTTTTACGACAAATCGAGAGAGTTTATCCTGACTTTTGCGTTTTGTTTTTGGCGTAGGGTTATAAAACACTTTATCTTCCCTAAGTAAGAGTAAAGCGACAGAAAGACACAAATATGGAATATTTGTGTCTTTAAAAGAAAAGCATAAACTGGAAATAAATCTTGTGTTGTTAAGGTAATCCTTGCAATTGTTTTTCCTGGCTTTTCAAAAATTAATATTTGATCAGTGCATTTGAATCATGGTCAATGCCAGAAGTTTGGAAAATATGATTAAGCAGAAACATATTTGATATTGCAATTATTTGCAGGTGAAAAAAGACTACAGTCGAAATAAAATATATTCACAAGTGTTGAATACTGAAATCTCAAGTACTTATACCTGTGTTTATATCCCCGATATCAGAAACTTGTTATTCCTCGTTGCTTCAAAGCTCGAAATTCGATACCAGAGGAAACTGGCTTATTGGGGATCGTTCATTATTTTGCGTGTGCTAAATTCGTAATTGTATTTGATTAATATATGCATCCGATAATTGTTGCAATAGAAAAACCCAGGGTTGCAGACTCGGGCTGTCTCATAGAGCATAAACCCCTGAACCTTGTCAACTGATATTCCATATAGATTCTGAGGGTTTGTTTTCACTGTTTAATGGTTATTTACATGTGGCTGATGACTATGTACATGTTTGTATCACATTGATGAAACGATCACAACAGTGTATTTATAACATTACAGGTGTATCTATACGCAGTTCTATAACCTGTTACGTATATCAGTCACCAAATCGATTAAAGGACATTCATTTAGGTGTTTTATTCCAGGAATCACTTGATTATATATTGAATAACGAGTACTCTTTGTTTTAAATGTCGGCTAATATTTCAGTTGTTTCAATTTAAATTGGATGATGCAGAAAACACTTGATATTACATTTAGGATTTTCAGAACTGCAACAATGTCAACATATGGCGAATAGGTAGTTCACGTAACAAAATATAGAGTTTTAATAAAGTAGCTTCGATTTCATGAGATCGTATAAACTTTAAATCCAGAAGGAGTTTCCACCAAAAATTTAATAACACTGAAGACAGAAACCTTGCCTAACAATTATCACCCACAAGGGGATTGAAAGGGCACAACATCATTCATGGGAGCCGTGTTAAATTGTACTCTTTAAAAACAGATTAAGTTTAATTACCGGGTTTTTGTATTGATGTAAACAATTTCCCTTAAGTGTAACTACAAAAAAAGAAGGAAAAAAACCCGAAGAATTGTAGTTAAGAGTGGAAACATTGTCTAACCATCACGAAGTGTTTAAGTACACAAGTGGGGTCTACGGGAGGGATCTAAAGCTCCGGCGGTAGTAATTACTAGTAAATCATATTTGATGTAGCTCCCGAAAGCACTCTTGAAAAAAATACACGTTGTATTGATTGAATGACAAAACACGTCAAACTCAAATCCAGGTTTATTTCCAATTTTCCTCAGCCCGAATCCTGCTGAGCACATGAAATTAAATACATTTCACATTTAATATTTCCATTTGTTCAAGTGGTTAGGGAATATCTGAGCACTTGAATGTGTAATATTATAACACATTTAATATACATCATCCCGTGCAATTGAGCAGAGAAGTGTTTCAAGACATTTAAAATTCTGAAGTTGGCATGGAAATCGGTTCATTTTATTACAAGATAATTAATTTAATTTAAAATCTGTAAGATAAACATTTTAAGAAAGTCATTACAAATATAATGATTTTATCAGGGACCTATATATACAGTTACGTTCCTGATTATATAATTAAAATTTAAGAAGTATATACTATTTACATCGTGTTCTTAAGTGATAGATTTGAAAAGAAAATGTAATTTACATCGCACCACATGAATTTCCAGAGGGAAAAAGTTAAATAAACAATAAAATGACTTACCTTATCAGATTTCAAATAAACAAACAAAAAAATATCCTGCAGTTGTACAATTGAAGTACACGATTGGTTTATTGGAAGCTGTGTTGTGTACTTATATATGGCAGAGTTACGTCACAATTCAACCTTAGATGAACTTCAATGGTCAGCCACACATGGCGTATACAGTGAGTGCCACAATAAAAGTGTAGTTGATTCCTGATCGCGCCCCTCAGTAGCCGGTGTGGATGGACTATTGATCCTGAAAGGTGATGTTTAGTTAATTAGCACCTCGATAACTCCGAGGTCGAATATCAACAGATTTAAAATTTGTTGACAGTGTATCATGTGCATTAAGATGACGAACACAGTTTGATTAATTCCTTAAATAACAAATTTGAAATAAATATGGAAACAAGTGTTCGATAAATCTAGAACATTGGGAGTGAACGCATTGTCGTTTGTGTTCATTCTCTATTCCATGAATTTAGTTTATCCACAACAATACACCACTTTACAGAAAATATATCATACTATATCATAAAAGAAGCCAATTTCTACATTAGGACTATCGTAGATTGGAATGGTCGATCCCTGTTAAGCATAAACCATAACTTCAACTGTCCTGCACATGTATTATCCCTTAGAAAACATATGGACGGAAGGGAAAATCCAAGAAACGAGGTTCTTTTCCAGAGTTCCGGGGCGGCAGACACTCAGATACCCCCTTAATCCTATCATCAATTCTTCTCCCCGGTTTCATTAACGGTGTCCGGGGAACCCATGATTAACTTCCTCTTTTACCATGATTGCATATTATATGACAAACTCCAGAATCCGTCCAACGCTGCGCATCCAACGCACACAGACATGTATTAAAACCTGTGTCTTCCTCTCGATATCCATTCGACACCTATCATATTATCGCATCTCGGATTAAGTCACAGGTGGCGGCGGTAGTTTTGGTATTTTTCAATCTGTGCATAATATGATATTTCGATTTTGATGGGTGAGCAAAGAGTAATCTAAACGGCAATGAATGTTGCAACTTGATTACATGGTTGCTTATTTGAACAAAAGAATGTGCCATTTTTTCATGGATAACTCTTGTTCGAAATTCTTAGATGCAAGATTATTATCGAAATGAAATGACTCGTTCAATCATGGTAATAAACATCGGAATTAAAATACAATTAGCTGATTTGGTCACGTTAGATTTGGTCGATTGAGCAAAGACGGTTCGAGTTCATTTGTTCTGTAGTGGTGTCTTTCACTAATTAACAATTTTCAATTGTTAACGAGTACATGTCTAATTGAAAATTGTAAATTAGTGAAAGACAGTAGCATTTGAAATATGCTTTTCAATATTCAGTTAAAACTTTCCCAAGTTTTAATAATCTCAGCAATTTTGAGACGTTTTTGCGATTGTTAGTTTTCTTTGGCATCCAATAAATTGTTTATTTGGTTACAGAAGACTGAAAGCTTATTTATTTAATCATTTTTACCTGATCATCCAGGGAATTGACTCCTTTTAAGTGAACGGACAAGAAGATGCAAGAAAGTCATTAAGATAGAAAGGAAAGCGAGCGATAACACATGTGACCACCCATCATATTAGTGCTATTTTCTTCATGAAGCATATCAGAATTTTTATATACAAACACGAGTAACATCTTCCTGCATTAGAAAATGATTTTCGTGATAAAATGTAGACAGTCGATGAACTTTCATTGCTCTACGGTGAAATGACTCCGACAAACTTAAAGTTTAGTGCTCGTCAGTACTGAAGTGTGTTGATAAATACAAACAATGTAAAACCATGTAAATCTAAGGGCCTTGAACTTTGCTGAGGTACTTACTGAAATATTAAAACAAATAGTCTCGTGTATATCTTTAATTTTATCAAGAGATGTTATTTTACATAAATTTCATATTTTTTCTGTAAATGATTGATAGTAGGTACAAGTTTGTACCATTAGATCGGAACCTTAAGTTCCCAAGCGGCAAGAGTTCGTTAGTTTCCTGTAACCTTTATGATACCCACTAAAACAAACCGATTTATTTTTTGCACTGCTAGTGCACTGAATTTGTCCTTCATAAGATAAAAAGAGACCTTTATAATGCTTTTTGTCAATCAGTTCTAGGAGGTCACTCCGACTTTAAGTATTAATTCTAGAAGCCTTTGTAACATCAATGATTTTCTGATTGGAATGTCAGAGATTACACCAGCAGTACCAGCAGAGAAATGGAAGAAAACAGAATCAGACTGTGTGATTTGTACTGCTTTTATGTGGGATTTAAAAGAAATTAGGGGTATGGCATTATAAAGAAAAAACTAGGACGACGATGTGGGCGCACCCTGGTGGTGACGGAGACAGTCTCTGACCGATTTACTAGAACTACCAGAGTACAGTTATATTTAAAAAGATATAAAAAAGAAAATGGCATTCTTTTTTTTCGCAGCAAACCAAGGTGTAAAAAACGATTTTAGGTTTTTTCAAATTGAAAATTTTTAATATTTCCCCCAATTTCAAAAACCTCAAGTAATAAAGGCGTATTGGGGTTGAAGTTTATTGCATTTCTATCAGAGGAAGATATTTACGTATGTACTTCTAAAACTTTGGTTCAGTTGCATAAATATTTTTCTACAAAAAACATTAGTTATTTTAAACCTGTTCTCAAGAAATGTAAAGGTAGTTTTTTTTTTTTTTTTTTTTTTTGAAAATTTTGGCCAAGAAAGGAAACAGGGTTATGAAATACAATTAAACATTAAAGATCAAAATTCAACATTAAAGATCAAGTCTTATTACATGTATATTCCCAATATCCAAGTGGTACGTCAAAAAATCGAGTTTGGAGTGTTTTTTTTTTCCGGACAATCAAAGTTCGAAAGCCATTCTAGGGAACGTAACTGTTTTACATAACAATCGGCAATCCTCGGCTGACTCCATTATATGCTCCATACCAATGTGCAAGATACGAGCCACTCGAGGAGGTACGAGTGTACGCAACCAAAGGTGTCAGTCGATGCATCCTCAAAATTTCATCAAGTATATCTACAGTTGATTGTTACGAAATAAGAATAGTATGTTTATTCTAACAAAAGAAAAAGTAGCGACTTGATAATTGCGAATTTCTAAATAGCGATGCGTCGAATTACACGAATCATGGTTCCATTGAAAAGAAAATAAACACGAAGAGGATAATTAATCCCGACTACTTTAATAAGCAAACAGGTTGTACACATTGACTTTTACGGTTCCGTCTTTAGCCTTAAAATTTACAAGCACTGAAAATGTTGTATAAAGTAAAAATATTAAGATAGCGAAGCTTAGACATTGACAAGTACAATAGTTATAGCAAGCACAGCGAGCGGCGCGAAGCGCGGTTCTCACTGCGAGCTCTAACGACAACGCCTGGGAAAAGAGAAAATTCGGACTACTGCACATTGATTCAATAGAATTTTTTCCGCAGTTACCTTTGGACCCACAATGCAACGGGAATATATCTCGCTCTTAACTACGTTCTCGCGGTGACATTAGAAATTCATCCAAAAATATATTCTCCTTGATTTAATGGATATTGCAGATAAATAGTAGATTAAACGTTCTTTGTTAAAATTTCCATTTTTTAACCTTCGTTATGGTAATGCAACTACCAGACTACGACGTCCTTTGCAAGAACGTAGTAAGAAGCGAGATGCATAAATGTTGCATTGTGGGTCCAGAGGTAACTGCGGAAAAAATGATTTTCTCTTCGCTCAGGCGTTGACGTTAGAGCTCGCAGTGCGAGCGACGTTTCGCGCCGCTCGCTCTAATTATATCAAGCCTGTAATATGATTATAATATGCTGAGAAACGTGATTTGCATGTTTACATTTTTCAGTCAGAGGAATGTGAGCGCTGTGGCTTTAAGGCCTCTTCTTTTAATTAGTAATATTATGAATACAAATAAACCACGTGACTTCTCCCGCAAGATTCATTTCCAACCACGAATGAACATTTCAAATGGAGCTCAACGTATATAAGTAACCAGATGGGAAATAAATAGAAAGGAAACATTTGTCTGGAAAACTTTGAATGGCCTTCAGCTGGTGTAAATGCATGTTCAAAGATTTCGAAGCCATTTTTTTTAATCTTCAAATTTTAGAAACATTGAAATAACACTGAAAGTATTGTAAATGAGGCCAGAATCCTGGAAATTTAGACCAATTTACATAAATGCATTATGAAACATCGTTTAGATTCTATTTAGGATACAGTGACTGAGTCAACAATTGATATGCAAAAATGGGCATAAATTGCCCATTAAAACGCAAAGTGTTAAAAATTGGGGAGATAAGGCGTTTTAAAATTCACTGTAGTGTCTGAGTACAAAATATGTGCTATTGATTCCCCATAAAGGAAAAAATTGAACAATAAGATAAATAGGTAAATGAAATTAAATAATTAATGTCACTGCAAATTGTTTTTGCTCATTCTGTGGAAGTCTTCAGTGTCTGTAATCTTCATAGAGTATCATATAGTTGAAATGTTATGTCGTATGGATGGATGACCGATTGTTTCGCAGTAAATATCCATGAACGTTCTTGTGTATTCAGTAGTGATCCACGTTATATTAAGGTTGACGAAAAAAAAGACTGAAATAAAATATAAATTTTGTAATCTTCAAAGAAGAACAAAATGTATGTAACTTCAGGAATGTGATTGAAAATATTCAGGCGTTTTTCTTTATTGCGCTATGAAACAATCATCAGAAACATTAATGATTCCTACAAAATATATAGAATTTTATAAAACGTATTAAATGAAGTCAGAAGACCACATGCACCGAATTTTATTCACTGTATTTTTGGCTTATGTCTGTTTTTGCAAAATCACTGTACCGGTAATATTCTGTAAAATTAGGTTCAATATAAGCATTTTCAATTCTTAATGATAATTATCATTTTTTTGTATGAATGAGAAGGTTAAACCGTCTGGTAGATGTTTATTCTTAGGGGATTGCAAACCCAGCAATGACCATAATTTGATGATCAAGCAATGACAAGTCTTGTATTTATGTAATCTGAACTTAAATCTGCACTTCAATACAATCTTTCATTGGCCAAGTGAGTCTAAAAAGGGAAGAATTTAGAAAAGGCCTTCTCCTGTCAAACACTCTTTACAAAAGCTTTTGTTCGTTTCATATTTTTGTTTTTACTCTTGTTTGACTTTTTTTTAAATGTTTTTTTGGTTCTTTTTTTAGCTCACCTCAGCGAAGTTGGGGGAGCTTATGTAATACCCTCGGCGTCGGCGTCCCAGGTTAAAGTTTTGGTGCGGTTTTCTTTTCAAGTACTTCTGTGCCCTATATTAATCAGAGATGCATGAAGGATGCATCTAGTATGTTTGATTGTACGGTTTGTACCAGTACAGTCAAGGTTTCAGATGCTGCAATTTCAGCTGAAGAATGACCGGGTTAATATTTTGGAGCAGTTTAAAGTTCTTAGAGCAGATTAAAGTTTTTTGAGCAGGTCTCATTTCCAAGTAACTACAAGCCCTATATTGTCCAAACTTACATGGATGATACATCTAAGAATGCACACTACTGGACTTGCTTCGGA